AAGGCAAGTTTTCTTCATATTCCAGGGCTGGGAATGTGAATTCAGGGATTTTCTGAGTTCACAAATTTCAAGTTCAGACTGCAGACTCATTCACTGTGAGGTATTAATGCCTAGATTATCATTGCATACTACATGTAAAAAAAGAGGCCTCTCCATGTGTTGATCCCTGTTCTTCCTGCATAGAGCAAAGGCTTCATCCTTGCTGCAAGAAACTTTCCAGTTTCTTGTGAGCCTTGAATGGAGCATAATGGCAGAGATTTTGAAGTTCACTGGTCAGCATGGTTAGACTCAGGAGGTGAGTACAGCCATGTGATCCCTCAACTTTTCCTCTTGCAGGGAGACAATATCTGTGGTGTTGTAATTATTGTAAATCTACATGTGGATTCAAGGCAAAGATTGTTACAGAGCTGCTTGACCGGAAGAGCTGTGGCAAAGGCATCTGACAAGGGCCAGAACAAGTATGGAAACACAGAAAATCTCTGTGGCTGTCACATTCAGGATATTTTTTATGAAGTGCTCTCTGTTTTGAGGGGTCTATTTGGGCAGTTAAAAATTTCCTGATGTTGAAAAAACTTCAAGCAATCTACAAATGCTGGGTGAGAAAACTTGCCATTTCAAGTTTTAAATTTCTTTAGGAAGGACAAGACTTGTTTTTAGTCTGTATATGAACAATGCCTCATTCAAGAATCTTTATGCTTTCTCAAACTCTCTGATAGGTGCTGTAATCCACTATTTAGTTCTGGGTTTTATTCAGGTGTGAAAATGCTTCTACTGTACCATCACAGTGAGGTATCCTTTAAGACAAGCAGAGATAGAAGAAAGTTCTAAAACTTAAACAATAATTCTGTTCTTTGAAGTTTATTTTTAAAACATGGAGGAAGGAGAATAGCTTGATGTTGTGGTTTCTAACAGATACTTAAATTTTTTTATCAGGCACATCAATTGTTTGAGACATTAAGATGTGAAGAGTAAGTCTCTTTCTCAGACTTCTATCTGGAATCCATCCTCCCATTCAATGCAGAAATCAAACGAGGCTTTCTCCTCTAATAGTATGACTTAGTAGAGGTCCTCGTGCTGCCAGTCTTGGCTGCCCTGTGATGTGTTGAGGAGTGAGCAGTGAATGTCAGCTGACACTCAGTCCTCAGCTGCACCTTCCTCTGCCTCTTCTGAACACTTACAGGGAGGTGGGCTGGGCTCTTGCTCTAAGGCTGTGTTGGGCCAAAGAGTCAATGCACAAATGGGCATTGACTCCCCTACGAGGCAACACTGGCTCTTGTTCTTATGCTGTGTGTTTGTGCCTGTATGGCACTCTCCCATTTCCTCTGAAAACAAACCTTTTGCTGGCCTGCCTTCTGGTGTAGCCTCTCATATGAAACAAGAACTTTCTGACAGAGCAATTTGATTTGGTAAGATGGATCATTTTAGTGGTGGTAAAACCATTAGCTTTCCTCTCTTGACCTTCATCCTCTTTTACTGTGCCCAGCCAGCAGCTACACACCCTCAGCACTGCTTGTGCACTTTGGTAATTTAACTTAACTTACTGCTATAATATATTGTGTTTCTGATTTGGGTATTGGGAAGCAAAGAAGATAAACATTAAAACCTTTTTCCTTCCCCTTTCCCAGGCTCAACTGCACTCCAGACATATCTCCTCCCCTCTTGTTATCTCCACAGGTTATACTCAGTTCCTTTAGTGAGGCAATAAGTGGCATAGGGGTTTGGGGTCAAGACATTGTGGTTTCTCTCTGCTGCTCCTTGTTTCTCACCCTTTTCTTCCATGGCTGCTTCCTTCTTACTAATTTCCTCTACTCTACTATGGTCACTCTGGAGGCCACAATCTCTTTAGTGTTGTGGCTGCTCAGTTATGGAGAACCTCCAAGACCTCTGGCTTTGCTGTTCCCTCATTCCCTTATTTCTCTCCTTGTCACATTCCCCCCTTGTCCCCTCTGTTATAGGCCCAAGTCAGACCAGAGAAGTGGTGCAAAATAGAACCTGAAGTTCAAAAAAAGATGTACATATATTAATGTATTTCAC